CTAACCGTCCTTATCTTGGGGTTGCGCGGCTGCTCAATGAACGTGTGGTGAGAGCAGCACTGCTAACGCCTGAGCAACACGCACGCGCCCGCCGCTCGCGGCGCGGCGCAATTTTTGGAACCGCTGCGCCCTGCCCAGCGCCTCGCGACGCCATGAGGGCTCAGCCCGTGCAATGAGTCGAGTGGCCGTAGCGCGCGCACGGCGCAGCGAGCTCGGCACTGCCCCGGCCCGAGCGCCGGCAGCGCAGCTCCTCCCAGCACCCGAAGGCACGCGGGAGGTGACTTAGCAGAGAGAGAGATTATATATACACATATACACACACACACACCGAGTCTGTTACACTACTGCATACACTAAACCCCTCATATATTAAAACATTCAATCATCACTACAGCTACTGCAGTTGCTTGGCACATAAGTGGCCCATAACCCAGGCCTTCCACCCTGCTCGTTATGTGGGCTCGCTCCAAATTCAGCTAGGGAGCAGCAAGAGAGTGCAAAGGAAACAGCTGACTTTACGTAAAGTCTTTTTATTATTTTTTTTTATTTTTTTAAAGCTTCTTAACATAAGCACCTGGATCTACCTTCTCCCAACTTCACTTTCTACCTCCTTGGGTGACTAAGCTTCTCCAAACAGCCCCTACAATATTCTTCCAAAGTTAACAGCTCCTTTAAATGTGTGATCTTTAATTCAACATACTTTGTAAATTCCCATCGAAATCCAGGATCAAATAATGTGACAAAGGAGAACCTCCCTGCCTTCTTCCAAGCCCTGGCTCCTTTTCCCATTCATCTTGCACCCCAAATTCGATGTAGCACAGATAAAGGCCAGGGCATCGTCAGGGCCTGCTGCTCACTCCCTACCCACTGTCTATCCCTTTTCTCAGGGCACAGCAGCAGAGCACCAGGAAGGAGATGAGTTTTAGATCCTCTTTAGCCAAAAGAATTGTTTCTCCAAGAAGTCACTAGAAACTTGGAATCTGGTCATCATCCCAGCTGCATGATCAGCCACAGCAGCAAGTGCTGAACACAGTTACTGAGTTAATTGCCCCAGGGAAAAATCCAGTCCCTGGAGAGCGAAAGCTGCATCTCTTCTTCAAACTGCCTTCCAGCAGGAAAGAGCAAGGGGAATTCAGCACTCAAATATTATCAGGAACTGCACAGGCAGTGCAAACATCCCCGGTACCCTGCGGTCTGCCCCCAGGACGAGCGCGCTGAAGCAGCTTCCCCAGATGTAGCACTCTCCTCACGCACAGCAGATTTGCACAGTAATTACAGTGGTGCTTTGGGCTTTCAAGGAAAGCTCTGGGGCTGGCAGTGCTATTCCCACCATGCTGGATTCATCTGGCACACTGGACTCACCACTTGCCCTCCAAACTGCTGAGTGTCAGAGGTGAAAAGCCAAAATCCTGCACGGATTTGGGAGATCCAGCGGAGCCACTAGCAAAAGAGGCCGTCAGGGCTCAAGACCCACTGCCTGGCAGCCAAATGATTGGCTCAGCCGTCTGGCTTATTCTGTTGCCAGCCTTGTTCAAGCCACTCACCAAAACAGTTTGTGCCACCCAGATTTCAGCGCAAACGGCATCACCTGCCACTTTGCAACATCCTCACGGAATCTCTCCACAGGCGCTATGGAAAAACTCCTGCCCCGCTCCAGCCGCCGGGTTCCGAGGTGCCACCACTCCCTGGGACCAAGGCTCCTCCTGTTCATTCCCAGGATACCCTACAACCGCTCCCAACACCAAAAACCTATTTTTAACAGGTCACCAAGAATTACTTCAAAGACCTCAGAGCTCCCACCCTTTAGTGCCTGAGTGGCGCCCGAAGTCCTGCAGGCAGCTCCACGTACCAGAGACGAGGCAGAGCCGGCTCTAATTCCATCTAGGAATAGACACCCAGGAAAACAGGTGGGAAACGCTGTTTTCTACCCAGGTTTGTGACCTGCTTCGGGCCTCAGGTCCCTAACCTGCACCGCAGCAGTGGCACCATCTGGCTGTTTTCCTTTGGGATCTGAAGGTGGAAAGTCTTAGACAAAGTTCAAAGAAAAGTAAGAGAAGCTCATGCACCTCTCAATTTAACCACAAAAATACTTTTTTTTTTTCCTTTTTTTTCTTTTACTATCTCAGATAATCTTTTGGCATGGAGAAGAGTGCATACCCTTCAGGTAAACGTAACACATATTTCTGAAGAGAACTTCTCTTCCACGCTGCCCTGGGAAAACTCGGGTGAGCGGATTCCCCTCCACACAAACATCCCGGGTGTTACTGCTCCCTTAGCCCATCTAAAACATCTAATTCTTCAAGGCGTGAAATAGCCACCACAACCTAACTGGGCACCCAAGACAGCCGCGGCAGCTAAAATTAGCTGACATTTGCAAATTTAGACTTGAAGTCAGGTATATATTTTGGATCAGGAGAAAACCCCTGGCAGAGGGACAAATGTAAAGTTAGCTCAGGAAACGCTGACTCCTCTCTTCCACCTTTGCTCCAGCACAACCACATCTATGCTGGAGGAAGCGTCGCTCATGCTGCTGCTTCGGTGAAGTTAACATTTAACGTTAATGGCAGCCGCATTTTTGGGTGCTGGGCCACCAATTTGTCATTTGGCACCACGGGGCCTTCAAGAGCAGCTGCTTGCTCCAAACACACGAGCTCTTCCACAGGAACGCGCGCCCCGGCCTCTCACAACAGCTCCACAGTGCAAAAACGTTCTGTTTATTTCTCATCATTCACAACAAGATTTTAAGTCTTCTGCGGGATAGAAATAGTGCAGATGGAGTAACAAAAGTGGGTTCTGTTTCACACAATAGAGCAGCCGTCTGCTTTGGATTTAGAAAGACAGGGGAAGTCAGACACTTTTCAGAGGGTTTTTCTGCCCTACCACAGACCTGACCAGAGCTGCTCTGCCCGCGGCAGCAGCGCCGGGGAGAACGTGTCCCTGCGGCGCCAAACCAGAAATTCTCCTTCTTTCTCAGAGACCCTTCCTGGGCCCTTGGGTAACCCAAGCAGTGCTGAAAACCAGGCACAGCAAATACCACCTCCGAAAGTCAGCCCAGCCTGTGCAGCTCCTTAGGGTACAGGTATCTGCAAGGCAGCACCCGGCACCGTCCCATAAAACGGCGTCAAATTCAGTGCTGCCAACTAGCACCACGCTTTGGCTCCTCACCGCAAGCGGCTGCAGGTCTCCTTAGTCACAAAAACTGCCCTATTCCACACAGTACAACGCAAGCTGCATTTCAGGAGCATGAGGGGAAATAAAGCATCACTTACAGAAAAGACATAAGGATGTTTATAGGAGAAGAAAAAAAAAGACATTCAATGCCCTGCTTTGCTCTTCATGGGAAGACTGAAAGCCCTTATTATGGCAAATACTAAATTGCTAGGGTAGCAGTGTGCCTTTTAACAAGCCAGCTTGGCTTACCTAATAAGGGGGGGGTCCCCCCTCGCCCAGTGCTCAGTGCACAGGGGAAGGGAGAAATCACATTTGTAACCTGCCCTCAGGCAGGACTGTGTTAGCTGGGGCTGATAGCGCTAGGAGCGCAGAGTGCTGGCTACCTCCATCTCTAACACCCAGGGGAATAGAAGCGCTCGGCTCGTCTGAAATCAGAGCAGAAGCACCTCTGAAGACTCAGACAGCACCTGGAAAAACAAGGCGGCAAACGCAACCTGCTGATAGTCACCCACAGTCTTCTCGGTCCCTTTGGGGCTCAAGATGGGTAGTGAAGGTTGCAAGGATGCCCGAGCACAGAGCTGTCCCCCCACAGCCACCTGCAAACGTCCACGCGCCACAGCCTCTGGATCAGCAAGGTCACGGCCAGGGAGAGCTGCGGGGCCGCGGGGAGGCCCGGCGCTCCCTGCGCAGCCCAGAGAGGCTGCAGGGCTAACGCGGAGGGCACATACCAGACACTGACATCTCTGGCTGCACCTCAGCCGACAGCTGTTTTCTTGACATGTTTGGGAGAAAAGTGTGTGCAATTAAACATGCAATAGCCCTTCCAGTAGCCACCACTCTCACTTGCTTGAGCATCTACTCCAGATGCTTCCACAGTCCTCAATAACCTTGGTGAGCAGCTTCTCTATATCAGGAGGAAAGCTTCGATGTGCCTTTGCTGGTACTACAGACAGCAGCCACAGAAGCAGAGAAATGGATGGGTTAGAAAGGGCCACTGCTGGCAGAAAGGGATGTTTCCTCCATGGAGGAAT